TTAATATTGTTATCCTGCCCAGCTCGCTTGCACCTTTGCATTAATTGCACTATCATCGTAACCTTAAAATGCAGGTCGTTCAGCCTTGTTGGTGTTAGACTGGTGGCAGCTATTAAAACCCGTTTGCTCTACCGACGTCTAACTCCTGGTTAGCTCAATCGGTAAAGCGCTCCACTGGAAAAGGATGCACGGTCCTGGTTCGATACCAGGACCATGCAGATCTTTTTCAGCGCGCACCAGCAACACCGCCTGGACAGAAGGCCTCCACACGAGTCATCATAGTCAGATCGATCGAGGCGAGAGATTGGGCACGAGTGCTGCGTCAGTGTTCGGCTGCGGCTCGTGGCCAATCAGCGCGTCGAAGGTCGGGCTCGGGTCCAATAGCCGACCGAGCGCGATCCGACTGTGATGACGTTTCATAGAGGAAGAAGAAACCATGCGGAGGCCTTCTGTCTAGGTGGTGTTGGCACCAGTCACCTAGCTGTGCTTCGAAATTAGCGTTTGTCCTCCGTCCCCCTTGTTCCCCCTCTCCAGGGGTTATTATTTTTGTTCTTGTCCAGCTCGCTTGCACCTTTGTATTAATGGCATTATCAGTGGTAAATTCCTCGGCTTTTAATAAATAGCATTGCAAGATTTTGCTTCGTGCTCTGTGCTCGTCCTACTTTCGCTTTGTGTTTCAGACCTCCGTTTGAAACAATAAAGTCTGACATAGTCATTTGCCCCCTTTTCTCGTCCGCACTAAACAAAAAACAAAAAAAAAAAACGCAACCACGAAGCGTAGATTTTTTTTTTTTTTTTCGGGGTTGCGGCGGTGGTATGGAGAATTCCGAGTTGGCATCACATTGGTGGCCTTGACCAATCAAGGGTGACAGCAGGAGGAAGTTTACGTTGATTTATGCATACTTCAGCATGGGGCGTGAATACAGTGGACAATAAACTAGGAAAGGCCGTTATTTTAACAGCAGTTTTTTTATTGTTTTTTAGGAGTATTTCACTGCTGTTTCATAGGAAGGACAATGATGAAAGGTGTTCAGAGCCCAGGTGCTCCATAAACACGGGGCTTCTGTCGGTATAGTTTCACTCTTTCCCCCTGTCTTCATGAGCCACAGTCACGTACCGCTCATGCATCATACAGAAGAGCACGGTGTTCGCCGTAGACATAATAGCGAGTTTTAGTAGACCGTGTTTCCCGCTCCACTAAGCCCCTCCGCTACCCGGAACTCTACCGCCAAAACCATAGGCGCGCAGGCGCAGTGGCGGTTTCTTCGTAGCGGAGGGCTAGCGGAGGGGAAAACACGGTCTACTAAAACTCTCTAACAGGAAGTTTTAGTAGACCGTGTTTCCCCCTCCGCTAACCCTCCGCTACGAAGAAACCGCCACTGTGCCTGCGCGCCGATGGCCTTGGCTGTAGAGTTCCGGGTAGAGGAGGGGCTTAGCGGAGGGAGAAACACGGTCTACTAAAACTCGCTAATAGGGAGTTTTTGGGAATCGTTTGTGCACATCCGATACGCTACGATGGACCCTCCGGTACGCTCTACGTATATGGGAGACCTCTGTGATAGCGCATGCGCAGTTCCTACCGAAGGGCACATCGTACCGTGCGAAGACGGGGGATGTGCGAAGGCGGTTCCCGAAAACTCTTTAATACGGAGTTTTAGGGAACCGTTTTTGCACATCCGATACGGTACGATGTGCCCTTCGGTAGAAACTGCGCATGCGCTATCACAGAGGTCTCCCATATACGTAGAGCGTATCGGAGGGTCCATCGTAGCGTATCGGATGTGCACAAACGATTCCCAAAAACTCCCTAATGTCAGAAGCATCTCCGGACACACTTCTTCAAGGATGTTCAAAGCACGTTTGCTTCATACATTTCTTTGCTAGAAACATGTGTGCAGACCGTTTTAGAGCGCAGCTCTTAGGCGCCCGTTTCCGGATCAAGCGGCGTCGCCGTCGGCGTAACCGCGCGGTGCATTATGGGAAATGTCCCATAATGCACCGCGCGGGGAGGAGGAGGGAGGAGAAGGGGGAGGGGAGGAGGAGGGGGAGAAGGACGAAGGGTAGGGGGAGGAGAGGGAGAAGAAAGGAAGGAGGAAGAGGGGAGGAGGTAGGAGGAGGGGGAGGAGAGGTGGAGGAGGAAGGAGGGGGAGGAGAGGGATAAGGGGAGGGGGAGGAGCTTGAAGGAGGAGGGGAGGAGGAGGGAGGAGGGGTATACCCTCCCCCCAGTACCGTTACCTCCTTCTCCTCAAGAGCTGCGCTCCAATTCAACATCTTGTAGACCCCGAGGAACGATAAAAAAACGGACGCGTTCCCCATCTCAGGGTCTACAAGATGTCGATTAATTCCCAGCTCGCCCGCACTCTCTCACAGCTCCAATTCGGCGTTACCGGGTGTTGTAAACGTCTTTCATTTTTTGTATGATCGATGTGACCGTCATACAAGGAAGAAACACGCCTCAGGCAGTTTTTACGGACGGTCCCTTTTGTATGGTGTATTAGCAGTTTGACCGCGGCTTTACCATTATAACTGTTCTTACCCAGCCTCATGTTTTTACCACCCTGACCAATATACACCAGCTCGCCTACTCTCTAATAATCTTTTTTTTATCGTAAGTATCATCAATGCGACCCATTCTTCACTATTTCTTTTCCTCCGTTGTCACCATGGACATTCTATGCGCAACGCATAGAATGTCCACGGTGATAGAACGTTCGTCTTCTTTTGCGGGGGTTGTGGTGACGTCAGAACGCCGAGCTCAGATTGGCTCTGATTGAAGGATAGGGAGTAGACCTGTAGGCAACTTACTTTAAGGACTACACCAGGGTGTAAGATAGACAGGGGGGGAAACGGCCCATAGAAACCTACCGCAGCGCCGTGACCCGATTGTGTACTCGTCTGCTTGCGGGTGGCTTGCGGGTACCCCCGATTTGCGACAGATGGCGCTGCGGCGAGAAGAAAAAAATTGGAATCGAATTTGCATGGAACTTTATGGGAGAGTGCGCAAAATAAACCGAGAGCACGACAGTCCTCTATTGAAAATCCACGAGAAACCTTCTCCGTCAGTTTAACCGGTCGCCAGCGTTCGCCCACCCGGAGTGAAAGTTCGCGGTGCTCCACATAGATGGCGCCACAGAAAAAGAGAAAACCGAGGGGGACACAATCCGGTCGCTCATTTGGCTCTCGTTTCACCACCTGTCTATCTTACACCCTGGTCTACACCTAGAATCCTTCAATCGGAGCCAAACAGTTTTGAGTTCTGACGTCACCACAAGCCCTGCAAAAGCAGCAGACGGACTTGCGCCCCGCATATCATCTGGCTCAATCGGGCACTCTCTCTTACATATTGGATTGCAGTTTTTTAACCCCCTCAGCCAATCATGAAAAACGAAGAAACTTGTTTCCTTTGCTTGTATTGTTTATTTCAATGTCTTGGAAGATGATACAAAATTGTTTTGGAGCTTGGGCTATACGGCTCAAGCAACGAAGTTCACACGCAACGCAATCAACTGCAAAAAGCAACCCAAAAAAACTGCAAGTACACACGTATATAAAACGTAAAATGAAATAACGCAACAACACAAACTATCTGGAATAACGCCTAATAAAAAGGATCGAGAAAATTAGTTTTTCATTGTTTCCGGAAGGTTAACAGAGAGGAAGTGCTTTTTATTATATCAAGAGACTAATCCCAGCAGCAAGATTCGTTGCACCACCGCTGGCCCGACATGCATTATGGGATAAGATGCGTTCCGCTGACGCGGCACGCATCCCGGAGTGGTTGCGCATGCAGTCCTGCATGCTCAACCACTCCGCTGAAGATTTGCACGAGCAGAGCACGAGACTCGACACGATCGCCGTCTCGTCCACTGGCACCCGCCTCCTCTGAACACTTCACGCCCTGAAGCCTGAAGCCAGAGTCACTCAGCTCATAAATCGTACAAAAGCCTTTCAGCGAACAGTGCACTAAAAGTATCGTGCGTTGTAGACATGATGACGGAAGGATATGTCTCAAGCATTTTGGCATCATGCTTTTTATGCATATGTATACTTGGAACGTCTCTGCAGACTGTCTTTTGTATGACGTCCGTGACCCCTCCCCCCCCCCCCTCAGTACCCTTCCCTCCTCCTTCTCAAGAGCTGCGCTCTAATTCGGCGTTACAGTGAGTTGTAAACGGCTTTCACTTTTTTACCGTCCCACTTCGATTTTCTTTTTTTTATATAGTTCTCCACTGAAGTCACTTACTCAGCTAACTTTCTCTGAAAAGCAAACTGCAATATTTTTTCTTCCTCAATGTGAATATGTTTTGTTTTTTTTCACCGGATGTTTAGTGACACGTTTCAGTAGCGTTGCCTGCTCGGTTGATTCGTAGAACTTGCGGGAATAAATTGGCAGCATTTCTGTTCGCAGCAAAACTTATGTCTCATCCATCATTTCCAACCTATGTATGTTCCATTTCCCGTCGTCCTCACCGGAATTCTATTACTCATTTCGCTGTTGTTTCCTCTTAAAAAGGCAACTACATTTGATAAAAAGAAGTGACACGCTTTAAAAGTACATTATTTTTTGTGTTTATGAAACCCTTTGCCGCGGAGTATATAAGTATACAGTTCTTATCATGGGCCTCTTAGGCGGCACCATTTTACCGACTGTAGCGCCGCCTACCTTCATAGGGGTACTTCGGAGGTCGGAAGGTGTCCGTCTGAATGAGAGCCATTCGAGGACTGTTAGTCCGACGAAGTGTGCACCACGTTGCGCATTGGTACCGTCGGAAATCGACTTGCTGTGTCGAGTTTTGTTTTCTCCTCAAGACCTGACATCATGAAATTTATTTATCGAATTCACAAACCTTCAATGCTGAGAGCACCTTTATTGTGGGCACATGGTTTTCATTACCAGGCAATCTTCACAATAAGTATTTTTTAAGGGAGAGAGTGAAGGGGGGGGGGGGGAGCGCGAACAGGTGACGAGATCACCGACGTGTCCTCGTCATTCACATTATTTCAAGTTACAAGAATATTAACAGAAAACAAGTAACTGCCTTAATTCGTTCAAAATTACTCATTGGGAAACAGGATATTCCCACTCAAAATCTATAGGTCGAAATTTCGTGGAAGCGTTGAGGGTGCGCATTATGGAATATCGGCGTCTTTCCACATGTCCATGAGGTCTTTGCCACGTGTCTTGAGCTCAATGCGTTTCTTCAGGCGCTGGACCTGGTCAGCCGAGAAATGGTTCCTCCAGTCGCCAACGATTCCCTTACGCGCAAAATCGCCTTTCATCTGCAGCACATCTTCACCCAAGGCATCATTCACTTGCTTGATCCACTCCGGTTTTTCCTCTTCGGGAACCGTCTTGATGTCCTCGTAGAGTTGCTTAAAGCAATCGTTCACGTCTTGCTGCATGGATCTGAAGCTTGTTCTGTCCAATATAACATCCAGAGCCTCCTGATCCTCTCGAAGTTTTTTACCGTATTTTTCTCCGATGAAATCGGCAATCTTGAGCACCCACGCAGCGGTGTCCTTTTTGAGGTCTTCGTAGGTCAAGAAAAGTACGTTGGGATCGTTCCGGTGTTCGTACCAGGACAACACGTGGTCGAAGTAGTCGCCAAAGTCGACAGTACCCTCGATGAACATCTCGAAGAACTCGTCGAATGTACCGTGTTCAAACTTGTACTCTGGCATGGCCTTGGTGTGGTAAAAGAAGGAGACGCAGCAGTCGTACGGATTCCTGGTGATGTATATGTACTTGGCGTCCTTCGAATACGGTTGGAACTTAAAGGGCATGTGGGTCTTGATGGCTCCTGGTCTCGGCATGTCTCTTGCCGAGTCTGCTCCTTGGAATTCTAGAAAGGGCATCTCTCTGTAAAAGCTCAAGGCATCCTTCGGCGGTGAACGGCCATGAAAGATGCCGTAGACAATGTGTTGCATCCAGGTTGTACCGCATTTCGGGTAGCTGACGATGAAGAGTTCTCCGGGTTGGGGCTTGTATCTCAGAGCTGAACGCACACATTCATCGGGAAACGCGACGTGAAGGTAGAACCCTTCGACTTCCCTGTACAAGGGCTCTGCCATCGCCACCTGAAGAAATAAAAAAAGTATGTATCAGTAAATAAACGAGATGTACACATCGGATGAGCGCATGTTCAGAATGCGTTCAGGAAACTGTTTTTTCGGAGACGTCTTGAACAACGTGCCTTTATAGGCAAAAGAATTACAACAAACGTAAACAGGGGTTCTTTTATGTGTTCGCTGTTCTTATTTTTCTACCCTTTCGGCTGGTTGTAACCGCAGTTTGCACCACGTATGTGAACGCTACTGAAGTGTACCTAGGTATAGTGTTACTCCTTGATTTCTCAAAAAGGCTTGAGGTACACCTAAGCACTTCTTATGAGTTGTGAATGCGAAAGCATGCATGCCTTTCCTCCGCGTCCTTATTTAGTCTGCGGCGTACTTGCGTCGACGGTCGGGCGCGCGCGCTTCCCTCGCCACGCTGACCTTGGGCGTGGAGCGGTGGAGCAGCTGCCTCGCAGACACGCAGCGCCATGGGGAGGCGCTAATTGGAACTGACACGCGGCGGCTTCATATCATTGCCGTTTTGCGTGGCTTTCTGCGTGGTTTCAAAGCCGGGATGCCTCAGATCGTGGCTTCAGGAATTTATCTGCCGTTTGGCGCGGCTGATAACGTCGGGATCGCTCCATGGGACAGTGAATGCTTTCGCATTCAAATAGTATGTTACCCGTTACCGAGCGTCAAGCGGTACACGTCACTTTAATTACTTTAAAAGTAATGCGTCCCATTATAAGAGACCTGTCGTAGATAGTACGCAAAATATGTAGTATGAAGATTGGGGGCCGACTTTGAGCACGGGTTAAACACACGATTAGCAGCTAGGGCCCGCAGTTCGCACCGTACAATCTGTGAAACTTCCCTTGTTTAGCTTATGCCTCGCTGAAACCTCATCCATGGCCGCATTCAGATAATTGCAGGCGGAGCCATATATAGGAAAAGAGTCTGGACATCTACTGTCCTCGGTGAACTCTGGCTGTACCGTCGCTCCTCCCATAGAACATACGTCAGGCCTAGCAACCGCTTAGCAACGGAAAACGCCGGGGGAGCGGAGCGGGCCGGTCCACCTTTACCGATCCCATGGGCCAACGCGCACGCGTGCAGGGCCGCACGGTATCCTGCATAGACCTTATTTTCTAGTTTTCTGGTGAGAAAATGGTCGGTTGTCGTGTGGTTAAATGTTCCAATCACAGCCGTCAGGTTTTTTTTTTTTTTTTTCTTTTTTTTTTTAGTTTTTAAAAGAAGAAAAACGTTGCAAGATATGGTTGAATAAAATCAAGCATGGGTTGAATAAAATCAAGCGCAACGCAAGGCTTTGTCTTTGTGAGGTAAGAAACGCTTGTTTCATCTTGAAGCTTTTTATAAAATTGAGTTTTCGTCGCAGTAGCGACGAAAAGTGGCGAACTTGTTGGGACACAAAACTCGCATGTAATGTGTAATGTGAGTAATTGCAGCAGGAGAGAGGGACGTCACATCTGTAAAGCGTTTTCCCCCGACTTCTCCAAACCGCGAAGTGAATGAATTTATTATTCGATGCCTTTTAATAAATGTTTTTTTTTAATGGAAAAGCTAGTTTTGTTGTCTTTCTATCTCCCATTAATTTCCATGTAATAACATGACGATGGATGCTGGGATCTCAGCACCGTTAGGAACGGCCGATCAGTTGAGTTAAATCTATCAAAGCGAGTACGTTTACCATTCGTAAAGAGCCGCCTGACACTGAGTCGCCCGATGCTTACTTCGTAACCTCCCGTTATAAAATAGACGGCTCAGACATTACGACAAACGTTAGTGCCAGCGCCGTTTTAATGCCAGCAGACTCGCACAACCTTCATTTATTTTATTTATTTCTTCGTAACCTTCCAGCTTCCTAGATGTTCGGAGAACAAAATCGCTGTTTCATTGCTGAGAGCTCGGTGGAGGCACGCGGTAAGGATGCAAGGCGTGGTCGTCCCCATATCAGGCAGGAGTAGCGATCACTTCGGTCAAGCTATCTCGTTTGACACGCTGACGCATGAACAGGAGGAAATTCAGTTAGGAAGAAAACAAACTATGGGAAACTCTCGGACAAAAGGCTTTAGCTCCCTTAACAATCTAACAAATAATTTTCTTCGAAAACACGGGCAACGATGGCATTCTCGTAAACTCTCGCTTATCAGAACACTTGACGGAAAGCTCCTCAGCTGCGAATTAGAATATGTTATCGCGGCGCAATGGTGAAGTAACAAGAAGCGTCAATTAGAACTGAAAATTGGGAAATTTGCGGGCGTGATTTGCGCGACGCTCCGAACGTCTGCGAAGCGTATGAACGGGCTGGTGACGCGGCGCGTACGAAGGGAGAAGAGGCACGGTAAATGGGTACGAACTTTAATGTGGCTCATGAATAAACATGACACAGCCCAAACACTGCTGGCGGATGACTTAAAACACAGTCATACAGTGGAGGAAACCGAGAACGAAGCATACAGGCATATATGTCGCCGGCATTGGTTGGGCTCGAACATGGCGAAATGGGCGTGGCCATGGCGTTCGCGTGACGTGTCAGTGACGTAGTTGACGAGCTGTCAACGAGGCCATGCCAGCTGGCCAATCCTCTCTCTTTACGGCTCTGTTGGCAAGTTCCAGAGCTGCGCGTCTATTTTCCACGTGCCGCAGCGCCGCTATTCTCCGATATCCGATCACGTGAGGAGCAAAATCCAGGTGCCGTGCTGGAAAGCCACCGATGCGGCCGCTTCCCCCCACCCCACCCGTTACAAAGGGTATGGCCATTCACATTCATCCATCCTACCATCGGGGACTGCATACGCGGGTAATTCTATCGTCACGCCTGTAGCGAGGGCTGTGTGCTTTGTACGATGACCGAGCGGTCTGACTGCGGCTTTAAAACCAAAACTGTTTGCCATCTTTACGTGCGGCGCTCCATGCAAAGACAGCGGGCAAAAAAGGCGCTTTGTCTGAGCGGTGAGCTTCCGAAGTTTCGAAAGCCCGCAGCTTTCGAGTAAAGACGTTTCCACTGTTTACAAAAATCAAGGTCCACACGTGCTAAATCACGGTCCTGCCAGCGCTCGCTCCCCAAAGAATCTAAACCAAGGTGCAGTTTGCAGGTGCGTCCGCAAACGCCTTTTTGTTATGATTTCTTTACAATCTTCAATACAGGTACAGGCGAGCGAACGCAGCGCGTATAACTAGTACGTTCCCCGGATGCTTCTTGATGCTTGGGTAATTCAGCAATAGGTCTATTGCGGCTAGAGTCACTAAATAAAGCTACGCTTTCAAAGTACCGAAACTCCCAAACTACGCGTCTGAAGCGCGTCAGGCGCCGCCATCTTGGGTCCACGCGCAGATGGAGGAGTGACTGTAGCTGAGCCAAGCCGAGCTGTAGCCGTCGCCTGCGCCAGCTGCTGTAGCCGCATCTGTGGCAGCGAATCAAGGTCGTGTTGTTCGTATCTCGACGTAAAAAGGAAAAAAAAATGCATGCTGAGCGACAAACTTCAGCGTGCGCGCGCAGTAAACAGTAAAGCAGCAGCAGGCAGCGAATCGCTGGACCCAAGATGATGCTGATGATGATAGGGACTCACGTGACCGTGCTGTCCAATGGTGCCGCAGCGAACCAGAATATTGTTGAATAGACGATTGCAAGCTGGCGACTGGCCGCCGCCATGTCTCTGCTCGAGCAGGCACGCCCGTGCGATTACGAGCTTGCCAAAGCTACGTTCACACGCGCGTTACACGCGCTTGCACGCATGGGGCACCACTTGTGGCGCCATGCTTGCATTGTCACTGCATTGTCGGCAAAATGCCAAAGAAAAGGAATGCGGTACTCTGAAAGCGTAGCTTCTTTAGTGACTCTAATGGCGGCCAGCCAGAAAATGCGCGTACATAAAACACAAACACAGCAATGAACGCACCCTCGTGCGCGTTTACGGAAAGGTGAATAGGGAGTATTGACTGGCGGCCATAGCTGCGTGCGCAACTGCTGAGCGCGTGCTGATGGCTATAGCTTCCGCGGTTCCTTTGCGACGTGCCTTACACACCATGAAGATTGCCGGTCTTAGCAACCTATTAATGCGAGCTCGTTCTGAGCATGGGCAATTAACAGCCCACACAAATATGGCGTCACGTGAATACTCTATAGACTCTATAGACACTTACCTTTCCAAAATAAAGAAAAAGAAGGCGGCCGCTGTAGCTTCGACGAGATTAAACCTGCCGGCTCCAAAGAGATTTCCACTCGAAATGAACGTACTGACCGGCTTCGCACGCGCATTCCATCTGCCGTTTGGGCCACGTGCTCTATTTCGCGTCAGCGTATCCGAGTTACTTTCCATGAAATAATTATCTCAGATGGTAGGGTAATGTTTGTTTTTTGTTGTTGTTGTTTTTTGTTTTTTTTATGCCTCCCCTGCAAATGCATTCGTGCGTCACACAGCAAAAAGGCCGGAGCCGCAGCTGACTTCTTTACTGAGGGAGAGAAGGAGACAAGAGAGGGTACGGGGGCGTCAGAACCCCGAGTTCCGGTTGAAAGGATTATGTGTAGTGCACCTTTACGTCTACATGGGTCTACCACTAACCACTTCAATCCTGAGCTCGACGTTTTCACGTCCCAGCGCGCTCTCGCTTTCTCCCTCAGTTTCTCGGCACACAGAGTGACACGCTGTTAACAAACGAATCAGAGATTGCCCAGACCCAATGTGGGAACCGCGCATGCGCAGAAAACAGATTCGCGTCAAGTGCAGCGTTTTTCCGCATGCGGGTGGATGGGTGGATGAATCCGGCTGAGCCTTTTGGATCGGGCGGTAGCTTACGCCACCTAGCCATTTTGTTTTACCATTTAAGCTTAGAAAATTTAAATGTGAAAAATATATTCACTCCGCACTGAAAAGAAAGTGAGGCTATGAAACCTCCTTGCCATTAGTTAATCAGAAAATACCTAGTTTTTCCTCGCTTTCTGCCACCATTCACTTAATCTTTGCTTGGTAATCTCTGTACTGTCTTGAAATCAGTCATG